GCAAAAAATTCAGTCCATTTGAGCTGATATTAGTGATTTGGAAACCTGAAATCGGATAAAGATATATATGGGAGCTATATCTAAATCTGAACCAACCTTGACAACATTTTAGGGACTTATTTCTGAGCTGTATCTGATACCAAAGATCATTCTGGTGGGGTGCATATTACGAATGTGAAGGACTTAAAAACATACCAGATGAAACTTATATATGGGAGCTATAGCTATATCTGAACCGATTTAAACCAAACCAGGTCGTTATCTGGTTCACATAAATCGCCAAATGTTCTTCATGCTAAATAACCATTTTCATATCAAACTGTAGCTTCTCAGATGTATTCCAATTTTTAATAAGGGGTTCCTTATCTCCACATTCCACATCCACTTTTGGATTCTATTTTATAGTGAGTGGAATGTGTTTTCTAGCAGTTTTATAGCAAAACATTGGTTTGTGGATATAATAAAGAACATTTACAATAATACTAAGCTTTTTCTAGTCTTGTAGCATAGCTCTAAACCTATAGCCTGCCTCAGAACTTTTTCAACACTGATGATAGACAAAGAAAATAAAATTCCCAAGAATTATCTACAATCCAAAAGCAACCCACTGTTTTTAGATCCCTCTACATAAGATGGAAATAATATCCGGTTTTTCTTGATTGGATTAAAAAAGGGTTATAGGATTTTTTTTATCATTATAGACGAATATTTGAAAGCATTATTTTAACGGGCTATATTAGAGAATATTTCTCATGGGCCATCAGAGAGGGTCTGCTAATCCTGTAATTTAATTTTGGATTAATTTTGAGGATCTTCATAGAATAACTTTCTGAGTTGATTTATGCATGTCAGTCCCTCCGTCTGTCTGTCCATGTATTTTTGTGAACAAAATGCAGGTCGCATTTATTATCCGATAAAAATGAAATTTTCCAAACAATATTTGTTTGGCCCAAGGACGAAATTTATTGAAATTTAGATATAGCTCCCATATATAGCTTCAACCGATTTCGGGTTAATTGTGCACCAAATGACCAATATCAGTCCAAATGACCTCCCATAAATATGTTTCATGCGCTTTCGTGTTTAAGACCCTCAGATTCGCAATATGCACTCCACAAGAATGATATTTGGTGTCAGATATCAGACACATCCCAAAAATACATCTGTCAAATTGGATATAGCTCCTATTAGGATATAGCTCCTCCTAGGATATAGTTCCTACATATATATCTATACATATCTATATATATATATATATATATATATATATATATATATATATATATATATATATATATATATATATATATATACATATATATATATATATATATATATATATATATATATATATATATATATATATATATATGTTGCTTTTGTTTTGTCCAAGCCAAAATCGGGTTAATTGACTTTACCAAACATTATTTTTTATAAAAAAATGAATTTTGGTTTTATGTTTTAGGTTTTTAAAAAGTGAATAAAGTACCTAATTTAAAACAAGAAAATTTTTCTTATTTTCTTAATTTTTGAAAAAGTTACAGGGCATTCATTCTCCTTGTAATTTCAGTTGCTTTAGTTTTGGCCACCAGTGTATATATACATATATATATATATATATATATATATATATATATATATATATATATATGTATATATACACTGGTGGCCAAAACTAAAGCAACTTAAATTACAAGGAGAATGAATGCCCTGTAACTTTTTCAAAAATTAAGAAAATAAGAAAAATTTTCTTGTTTTAAATTAGGTACTTTATTCACTTTTTAAAAACCTAAAACATAAAACCAAAATTCATTTTTTTATAAAAAATAATGTTTGGTAAAGACAATTAACCCGATTTTGGCTTGGACAAAACAAAAGCAACTCTGTTGTACATTCATATAAACGCTGCAATTTCAGTTGTTTTTACTGTGATATTTATCGCTTTTTGCTTCCTTCGATAATTTCGCTTGTCATAAATCCTTTTTGAGAAGTTTTTTACAACAGTATGTGTTTTTCTTTCCGTTTTTTAAGTACTGTCCAAAAAAAATTAAAAATGGCTAAAAGCAAATACAGTACCTGAATAAAACAGCAAATTATCGGTGACTATCAAAACAACATATTACAGAAAATGATTTCCGAGAAATATTTCATAAATATTTATGTAATTTCATAATTATTTCTGTATACTAAGTCAGTTTTTTGAAACTGGATCAGTAGTAACAGTCTATAACGGATGAAGGCCGTGAAAAACTTCAGCCCGTACTGATCCACAAATTGTGACAGAAATAAAAAACAACCATTTAAGAGTTCAACTGGATTGGTGAGAGAGCAATCATTGGATATAACCTCGAGATCAGTACCTAGACGAGTAGTGACAGCTGGTCTGCATGCCCGTAAGACATCAAAAAACCATTTATATCTGAAAAAATCAAAAAGGCTTTCGGAAACGATAATATTAGGTGGAATCAAGCTCAATGGAAAAATCATTATTTCTGGGAAAAAGTTTACGTTTAATATTAAAGGCTCAGACGTGAAAAATTTTACGGTGAGAAGGCCAAAAAATGAAGGACTCAAGCCGCAGTGTTGTAAAGGTACAGTGAAGCATGAGGGAGGGTCAAAAATGACGTGGCGCTGTTTTTCTTTCTATGGACTTGGGCCTATCCATAAAATAAAGGAAGTTGTGGATCGGTTTGTTTACAAAGATGTGTTGGACATCACGTTGTTCCCTTACGCTGAGTAAAATATTCGGCTGATTTAGGTGTTTCAGCATGACAATGATCCCAAACTTGTATCAAAACTTGTCAAATATTGGTTGCGGGAGTCAAAAATTCATGTTTTGTTATGGCCGGCACAATCACCTGATCTAAACTCCTTAGAAAACCTTTGGAGTATCGTAGATAGGAAGATCAAGAGAGATTCGGAAATAAATAAGCACAATATTTTCTAAAGAATTCGGGGTGCCTGGGAAGGCACACCCAAGGATGAAATTGAGCGTCTTATAGATTCAATGCCTCGTAGGTGTGAAGCTGCTATCAAAAATAATGGTTATGCTATCGACTACTAGCCAAAATTTAATTATTTTAAAATAAAAAATCAAAAGTTGCTTTAGTTTTGACCAAGCAAAAATTGGGTCACTTTAGTTTTTCACATATTATTTTTCGTTCAAAATTATTTTTGTATTTTTATTTTTAGTTTCTTAAAAGTGAATTAAACCCCTCATTTAAAACTGGAAAAATAATTACGATTTGTTTATTTTTGTAAAAGTTACAGGACATTTATTGTCTTTGCGATTTAAGTTGCTTTAGTTTTGGCCACCAGTGTATATATATATATATCTTTATCCAATATCAATCAGGTTCATCGTGCACCAAATGAACGATGTCAGACAAAATGACATGAATTTTGGTACATCCGACCGAATTCAGTCTAGAGACAAGGACCTCAAATTTGTGAAAATCGGATCAGATATAGCTATAGCTCCCATATACATGTTTCATCCGCTTTGGTGTTTAAGACCCTCACATTCGTAATATCCACTCCACAATAACATTCTTTGGTATCAAATACAGCTTAGAAATAAGTGTTTCAAATTTTGTCAAGATCGGTTCAGATTTGGATATAGCTCTCATATATATCTTTATCCGATATCAGTTTTTCTGTGCACCAAATGGCTAATATCAACTAATAGATTGAATTTTGTCACATCTGACGGATTCCGTGTAGAAGCAGGTACATTAAATTTGGAGAAAATCGGTTCAGATATAGCCATAGCTCCGATCTCATCCGATTTGGTGTTAAAGTCCATTACATACGTAATATTCTCTCCACAACAATGACATTTGATACCGAACATGAGATACAGCTCGAAAATGTCTCTGCCAAATTTTATCGAGATCAGTTCAGATTTTTATATGCCTTCGATATACATCTTCATGCGATTTAACGGTTATTGATATGGTTATGAATATTATCATATTCAACCGAATTTTTCCATTTGGTGAAACTGGGTCCGGTATACTTATTGCTCCAATAAATACTTTTTAATATAATCCTTATCGAATCATATCATACACTATATCATATCATATCATATCATACACTATACAGCAAATTTTGTGCTAGAGGTCCATAAACCTCAGTCAAACTTATTGAAAACCGGTTGGATATAGTTCCCTACTCTAAAGCCATGATACGCAATCAAATAAGGTTCATAGTTGATATGATCTACTTCATATAAATTCCCAATATAAACAATTTTTTGTTACAGGAGTTCTGCTAAATACGCATAGTGGTGTAGGGTATCATATAGTCGGCCCCGCCCGTCTCCGTCAAATTTAGTGAAAATCGATACAGAATCGGATATGCCTCCCATATATTAGTTCCTTCTGAGACCAAATTATAATTGCTCTAAATCCAAATGTTGATAGGTGGTATGAGAAGGGACTCGGAAATGATCCCACACCAAAAACAAAAAAAAAAAAAAATTAAGAGTAGACTTCGTAAGAAACTCAGACCCCTCGAGCAATCCTCTCACAAGCAAGTTTCGCTCCTGAGTGAAAAGGATCAAATCTGTGCTCGGATCTTTATCAACAGAAGATTGCATAATAAAATCATATAAGCGGTCTATGCACCTTTGTGAGACACAAAAAGAATTATATTTTTATAGAAGGCTTCAAAGGAGGTCGTCATACACAAAAAACCCTTACCTACTAAAAGGCTTGTATGATTCTTGTACATATCTCCATCTGACCTCACCTGTTCCATTGCAAATAAAAAGTTCTCCTTCCTCTGAAGGATCAAATATTTATTTCACCTTTTGTTGTAGTCATTTTTTTTTTTTTTTTTGGTTTAGATTTTTATTTATTATTATTTTTATTTATTTATTTATTTATTAAACAATATTCTTATTCTCCATCGACATCATTCGATTTATGTTTTTGCTATTCTTATTTCTTCTAGGCATTACAAAAAATATGTTCTTCTTCTGTTCTTGTTGTTGGTTTTTCTGTTTTTTTTTTTTTTTTTCAAAATTTTTATTTCATTCAAATTCCTTGCTCTTAATATTCGAGTATTCAAGTCATGTTGTTATTGTTGTTTTCATAGCTTATTTCGCTTATAAAAGATATTGTTTGTTTGGTTTTCTGTTTGAGGGGGGCTGGGCCAGGGGGAGGGTAGGTTTTCTTAAGTTTTAGGCAATATTTGAAAAATTATTTGTAAGTTTATTGTAATCTATGGTGGTGGTGAGAAGATGATTGGGGACAAGGGGGATGGATTTATGAGTGTGTATGTAAGTTTTCTCCTTATTATTGTAGTTTACCTTTATTTCTTTTTCGTTTGGTTGTTTCTTCAACATTCTTTTAAACTAATTATTATTATTGTATGTTATGTTTGTATTGGTTTTGTTTTTTTTTTTTTTATTATTCACTTTCATGGATTTATTTGTTTATACTTATATTTAATGATATCTATGACAACAATTATTGAACAAGAAAACAAAATTTTGAATTCCGAAAGATCGCAAAAAAATATGGAAATATAAAAGCTTATAAAACCCGAGCGAAAAGTTTGAAGCCTAAGTTTTCTAGCAAAGAAATAAAGCCTTTTCTGTATTTAAGGTTTCATGAAATTATGTTGTTTATTTAAGAAAATATATTTATAATGATGTAGTATAAAGTAATACTAGGTGTGAGCAAGCCCCAAATAAGGACTACTTTTGACAATAAACTTAGTTGGACTTACTGCCCGACCTTATGTAAGATATGGGTGTGAAGAAAAGGTAAGGTGAATTTTTATAGCACGTCTTTTAGAGAGACAAAGGAATTGTATGATCGATAAAAAATGTCCTGAAATGGATTTCGAAGTGGCGTATAAAACCTTAATTTCAATAAAGACGTTTTTTTGGCGTTATCGTCCATTTTAATCATTAATTTGAGATTTTATATATGAATAGGAGTTATCAGACGAAAATTACCGATATATGCCAAGAGTATTGCAATGAAAACCAGTAAGGAAAGGTCAAAAGTCGGGCAGAGCCGACTATATGATACCCTACACCACTATGCGTATTTGGTAGAGCTCCAGTTTCAGTTAATTTGGGTTGATATAAGTCATTTGGTGCACAATAAACCTGAAATCGGATAAAGGTATATATGGGAGCTATATCCAAATCTGAACCGATTTTGACAACATTTTACACACTTATTTCTGAGCAGTATCTGATATCTGGCACCAAAGATCATTGTCGTGGAGTGCATATTACGCATGTGAGGGACTTAAAACTTCAAATCGAATGAAACATATATATAGGAGTTATAGCTATATCTGAACCGATTTTCTCCAAATTTGAAGTATTTGCTTCTAGACTGAATTAGGTCGGTTGTGCCAAATCGGTGCACTACTCACCCGAAATATGTTGAAGATATATATGGCCAATTTAATCTCATTCGGATAAAAAATGCGACCTGCATTTTGTTCACAGAAATACATGATCCCACGGACTGATATGCATAAATCGACTCAGAATATAATTCTATGCACATCCTCAAAAGTAATTATGGACATATATCGCTTCCTTCTCGAAATTGTATAAATTTTTTGACATTCAACCGAATATGAAAATTGTGACAAATTGTGACTACTTCAAATCCATGATACGCATTCAAATTAGTTTCATAGTTGGAATGAGCTCCTTTACATAAATTGCCAACATAAACTTTTTGTTACGGGAGCTCTACTAATTACGCATAGTGGTACTACCATGGTACAATGAGTACAAGGTAGGCTAACTTTGAAAAAATTGCAAGTATAGAGGTCTACCTGTTTGGCTTGTAATGTCAGAATTACTATCAAAACAATAAAAAAGCAAACAACTTGTTGCATTGATTTTGAATAAATAATTTAAAACCGCGAAAACGGAATGAAAGGTCAAAATTTCCTTTCAAAATCATGTTCTATATATCTCTTATGGTTTATTTCGCGACAAAAACTGTAGATTTTGTCGATGCGTACGTCGCAATAAACATTTTGAAAACACCCGAATTTGAATATTTTCTGAACAATTTATTTATTATTGAAATGAATACATACACATAAACAAATGAAGTTGACATATTAAGCCAGAAAAATAAAAAAATTGAAATCATATGGTAGTTCTGCCCTACCTTGAATTCATTGTACCATGGGTACTACTACATTGTACTATTTTGTACATTTTGGTACTTGCCAATCTCTAGAGGAATAATCTTAAAATAATCCATTTTATCTCACCCCAAACAATAAACATCAATGCTGAGTTTTTAGTACTTTTCGTAAATTCCGCTCAGTCCCATCAGTGACCACCTTGGCAAATTTTAGAATTTTTGCTACATTTGCATTTAGTACTTTTGGCACTTTTTAACTACCAAATATATGCGAAATGTTTAATCAAATTTTGAAAAAATGTGTCTACTGTCTGACCAAGAAATATTCCAAATGTCAGAATTGTAGTTCTAACTGGATAATATTTAGTACCTATTGATACTTAATTCCAAAAACCCCTCCTTATCTCGTGTCTGCAGCAGTAATGCGTAATATGAGCAGGCTAACGCCAAATATGTAAAAATTTGGCTCCAAAAATGGCTTCATTTTTAGTACAATTACGTGCTTTGTACCATTTAGTATTTTTCAAAGACATTCCGAGCTATAAACGTAGTTTTTAAGAATATTTGCGAAGAACCATTAAGGTTATTAACGCGGATTTTAAGGGAAAATTTCATGGGCTTTACAAACTAAATCATTGATCTTTTGAGGAATAATTTAAGAGGAACTTACATTTGTAAGGCCATTCAAGGATGTCGTAAATTTTTTGACGAATATATTTTCAGGGACTTGTATGGTTATATTGCTGGAGTTTATTGAAGAAGTTTATCGTAGATTTTTAAATATTTTTTACGGACATTAAATGCCATAATCATATTTTTTCAAGAATATTTTCCCAGAGGAAAGAATATTTTTGAGCATAGATCTATTATTTATTTGCACCTCCATTTAGCAATAACTCTGTATGTTAAATTTTTCGAACACAATTTCTAGCCCTATTGTCTTTAATTTGTAATTTCGGGATCTATCCCATACTCCAAAGAAAAAAAAGAAACGCCGAACATTTAAGAAAAATCCAATGAAATGAAAATGTACCCATTCAAAGGCGTTATTTCTGAATCAAAGTATATTAATAAAAAAACAACAAAAACAACATAAAATTTTCAGGCTTTAAAACCATATATTCGATTTTTATGATCCCCTTCTAGCATTTTCTCTCTTCTTCTCAGTTAAATCCCCCTTTTCATCTCTCGCACACTCCCAATAATTCATGGCCCACCTCAGGATTCAAGCTTGCCACACGTTTGCTGAATTCCACAGCATCATACTGCAATACCAAATCCAACAATTTTTTCTCCAGCTCCGTATAACCATGCTGATTAAACAATTCCAACACTTTCAGATCCTCCACGGCAACATCATCCGTTTTATGTTTATAAGGCGCCACAACATCAATGAAATCTTCCAACAATTTAAAAACTTTAATAAAACAAATTTCTGGAGTCGCTTTGGTCTCCTGGGATTTTAACAAATAATTTTCCAATGCCTCTCTGTGTTTCACATATGATTCCTCCTCTTGTGGAAGTTCTCCAATAACCTGCTTCACCAAAGGTTCAAATTTCTCCGCCAATTGTTTGGCTGATTTGTAAAATACCACGGGATCATTAAAGTCTTCCAAGTTCAATTGGGCGCCATCCGTGGCTGTAACGAAAGAAATCTACATTTTAATGCTGATGAGTTTTGTAGGTGTTTTCAGATTGGAATTTTTACCTTCATTGCCATTGCAATGGCACAAATGACCAGAAGCTGTTTCATTTTTCTGTCGTTGTTTTGGTTTCTTGTCAAGCGCTTTGTTGTGTTTTTATTGTGGTCTTGTCTCGAGCAATCGTCAGCTGCTACTGAATTGCTTCTGGTCAGTAAATCAATATCAACTCGTATTGTTGTCTTCAATCTGTTGTTAATAGTTTACATTGTTTGCTGAGCTGTCAAGTCAGCTCTGGCTTTTTATGGTTTATGCTGCGAATTTTGAATATTCGTGAGTTGTTGTTGCTGTTGTTTCATTAACCAAAACATGGTCGTGACCTCATTTCTTCAACGCCATGAAGATGAGTAGTGTGAAAAGTTAAGAAACGCTTAAAGCTTAGCTAAAGATATGCCAAGAAAACAATTATCATTCCCATGGTATCTCGTTGTCTCTTTGTTCGAAATCAGTTTCAGGGCATACTCATCCAAATTTAGGTTTTCGATCCAATGTCTCTTTGGACGAAATCAGTTTCAGGGCATTTAAAGTAAATACTCTGGGCGGCTGGAGCACTCGATAACTCTCGAAGTTAACTCTAGGAAAAAAATCTCATCAGGAACGTTTTTCCGCATAGGAAAAAAATCTCATCAGGAACTGAGGAGACGTTTTTCCGCATAGGAAAAAAATCTCATCAGGAACTGAGGAGACTTTTTTCCGCATAGGAAAAAAATCTCATCAGGAACTGAGGAGACTTTTTTCGTATAGGAAATTTTTAAAAAATAATTTTTTTTAAAGAAAAGTTTTTACAAAAGTGCGCGATGGTAAATTGCTTTAAAATTTTTATCAATTGGGTCCGAACTTGGTAAATGGTAATATGTGTACAAAACTGAGATCGTAATAGAAAATGGGCCTCAACTGTAGGTATCCCGCACACAAAAGTTTAAAATTTCCAAAAAGGCAAGTCAAATAGAATCAGTCGGTTTTACCGACAGATGTATACCCCCAGCGTTGACTTATGATTATTCAAACTCTTGACTCTTTATGGGGCAGGTTCCGAAAACGGCCAATATTGATTGGTTCGTATCTGACCTAAGACTGTTATAAATATTACAACGCGTCAGATTTGGACTATATCGACTACTTCCTGTACTTTATATGAGACATGTGCAAATTTTTGGAAAATGTGGTAATATACGTGAGGCACCAGATATAGCGGACCGAACCGCTATCGTTCATTTCGCACCTGACCTAGCACATACGCAAATATTGGGATATGCAAAGTTGGAGCAAAATCAGGTTATCCTTTCTCGTTTTATACAGAAAATTATTTTCTTTGAAAATTTTGACATTTTGTGAGGGAGGTACCAGAAGGAGTGGACCGATATTGTCCATCTCCAAACTCGATCTAAGTTTGGCAATAATATTACGATGTACCAAGTTTGGATCAAATCGGATACATCCTTCGAGAATTATCTTGCGACAGACGGACGGACGGACATGGCTAGATCGACTCCAAATGTCCTGAAACGGAGTTGGTCCAAAGAGACCTAGGGTTTAAAACGGTTATTTTGTTTCGGCCTCTGTAGCCATATGGCTGAGTATATAAAAAAACAGTAAAGAAAGGTCAAAAGTCGGGCATTGCCGACTATATGATACCCTATACCATTATGCGTATTGGGTGAGATGAAAAAACTGCAATCAACTTCAGACTGCTATAATTTCTAGGCCACTCGTCCGACAGCTGCTGTGGTGTGAGCCGCCATAACAGCCGATTGTCGCTCTCCGCTCATTTAATCGACCGTGGCATTAGAATAAATGCCGAATATTATGGTGAAAATATTCTGGAGGTTGTATTAAAGCCTTGGGCACGCAAACATTTTGGCCGCAGACATTGAACATTCCAACAGGACTCAGCACGCGCCACCCAAGAATAGTTACAAAATAAGGTTCCTCGCTTCATTTCCAGCGCACAATGGCTACCAAAATCTCCGGATACCAATCCGACGGACTATTGTGGCTGGAGTATTTTGGAAAGCAAGGTTGGCACTAAAAAACTACCAAAGTGTCAATCACCTCGAGCAAGCGCTTCGCCGGGAATGGGTCGAAATACCGCAGAGCAACATTTGGGCAGCATATGATGGTTTCATTGGCCGTTTGAAGGTCATAATTCGTGCCAAAAGTGACCAATTCGAAAAAATCTAAATTCATTCTAAAATTTTATGCTAGTTGCGACATTTTTTGTTTTTGTTGAATAAAATGTAAAAAAAAAATATGGCATTTGACTTTGTTGCAGTTCTATTATCTTACCCTGTATGTATGGGAGCTATAGCTATATCTGAACCGATTTTCACCAAATTTGATGGTCTTGCTTCTAGACTAGGTCAGATGTGCCAAATTACAGGACATTGGGACTAATATTGGCCAAATTTTTCCCACTTCTGGTTATTAGATCACTATCCCTTAGGCTTCAAACCTTTCGTTGGGCGCCATTTACATTTTTTTCTCTTAAAAACAAAATAAATGTAATAAACTATAAATCATATGCAATTTGGAAAAACATATCGACATTTAATGATCAATTCTTTTTTTTTAAATATATTTGGTTATACATATGTAGCGGTTTTGTTATCTTTGGTTTTGATTTTTTTTTTAATTTAATAATATTTTCTTTTTTTTTTTTGTTTTTATATTCTGCATAACATTGCTCTTATGGCCTAAAATATTAGAACGAACGCATCGAAAACGAAATACAAACATATTTCTAAAAGAAGTATTTACACACAGCAGTTGGGGTTTTGAGATCTAACAAGGGCTCAATTAGATTTCATTTGAGTCCTCTTCGTGGCACGGAGGTTATTTTGTAAAGGTAGTAAAGAGATCAGCTGATTTTTGTGAAGTAAAGAATGGCAGCTGGAGCCAAGATTATTTGTAAAAAAAATTATTAAAAAAACAATTAAAAATTATTTTTTTTTCATTTCATATTTTCTTTAAAAAAACAAAAATCGAGCTCCTAAAGCCACATTAAACCAGTAAGGAAAACTAAGAAGTCGGGCGGGGCCGACTATATGATACCCTACACCATATTGCGTATATGCATATTTAGTAGAGCTCCCGTAACAAAAAATGTATTTGAATAAATCATACCATCTATCAAAATTTGGCTTTAGAGCTGTTATAATTTTGTTTCAGAGGCAACTAATGTATGGGAGGCATATTCAATTTTGAATCAGTTTTAACCAAATTTGACGGAGACATTTTTATCATTCATATCAAATAACATTGCTATAGAGTGCATGATATCACTTCGAGAAGGATTATTTTAAAAACGATATATATCGGAGCCAAGTCCCATGAAATGAAAACGTACGTCCCCAAATTCACTCCATTTGGGCTGATATTAGCCATTATTTCCACAAAAAACTTGAAATCGGATTAAATATATGTATGGGAGCTATATCCAAATCCGAACCGATCCCCATAAAATTTAGCAAAGATATTTTCGAGCTCTATAAATTATATGGTATCAAATATCATTCTGGTGGGATGCATATTACGCGTGTGAGGGACTTAAACCCCAAAATCGAATGAAGCATATATATGGGAGCTGTAGCTATATCTGAACCGATCTTCACCAAATTTGATGTACTTGCTTCTAGACTGAATTCCGTCGCATGTGCTAAAATGCAGGTCATTTGGACTTTGGCACAATTTGGGGCACAATTAAAACGGAATCGGCTGAAGATATATGTAGGAGCTATATCCAAATCTGAACCGATCTTGATAAAATTTGGCGGAGATATTTCTGGGCGGTATCTGATATCTGGTACCAAATATCATTCTGATGGGGTGCATACTACGAATGTGAGGAACTTAAACCCACAAATCGGATGAAACATATATATGGGAGCTATAGCTATATCTGAACCGATTTTCACCAAATTTGATGTACTTGCTTCTAGACTAAGTTCGTTTAGATGTGCCAAAATTCTTTTGAACTTATATTGGCCATTTGATGCACAATTAACCCGAAATCGGCTGAAGATATATGGGAGCTATATCTAAATCTGATCCGATTATCACTAATTTCAATAGGGTTCGTCATCGGGCCAAACAAATATTGTTTGGAAAATTTCATCTCAATCGGATAATAAATACGACCTGCAGTTTGTTCACAAAAATACATGGACAGACGTACGGACGGACTGACATGCATATATCGACTCAGAAAGTGATTTTATGAAGATCCTCAAAATATTCTCCTTTTTTCTCCTCGCTTTCTTCTCCATGTTACAAACAAATGCACAAAGACATAATATCCTACCACTACTTGGTGTAGGGTATAACCGTAACCGTTTGGGCACCGTAACATTACGTTTGGTTCATCCCACAGCGCCACAGAAATATGTATTATAACAACATCCGAATGGTGTCGTATACAAAAATCATAAAAAATCTGCTGTTTTAACTGTTCTCACCTTTAGTACCAGTATAAAATAATAGGAAGCCTTTTGTAACTAATGTTAAATGTAAAAAAAGTAAACAAAACAACGCCCTCTAGACGAATACTTTTTTAATGACACTAAACCCTTTAAAATTCTCTAGTATTTCTCTACCATAATAAATTAACTTTGCATAGGATCGTTTTTTATTTTTGTGTGATTTGCTGAACCTTCAGTACTACCTTTACAAAATAGCGTGCCATGTGGCAAAACCTATTTTTCTTTGTTTTTCAAAAACTTAAATTATAGTTTATTTGTTTGTATTATTTCTTCATATTTTTTACCGTGTATCTCTCTTGGTTTTTTAAAGACATGGACATTATACAACTAAGATTCTAGATATAACTAACTCTATTTCACTTCCACTCTCTCACGCTCTCACACCCATGCACTCACAAACTTATACACAAACATTTACTCAGATTATAAATTGTCTAGTATTTCAAAAACAAAAACAATTACTCGCATTCATTCACAACACAAACACTCTCTCATTCACTCGCACATCCACTCAATAGAGACACTCTCTCTCTCTCTCTCTGTCTGTCTTTCTCGTTCTAAAGGCTTACAAAAATAATTTGAAAAACAATGAAACTTAAAAGCACCGCATCTAAACCTTAGCCATTAACTCTGATGGGGTCTCAGGATCGCCGGTGCTTGTGAGATCGTTTATCGTTGTCACCAAAGTGTTGACGACGGTATTCACCACATCTGGAATTGTGGCCACGGTGGCAGCCACTGTCGACAGCACGGCCAAAGTGCCGCTGGATGTGGAGGCCACCAAACTGGGTGCTGTGGTTATCGAACCAATTGCTGCCATTGATGTTGAGGTGCTGGTGTTTAAAATCGATAGCAACGTTGATGTTTCCATGGTCGTCGTGGTACTTGCTGTACTACTGCTGCTGGGACTGGCCACTGTGGGTGGTGCCATTGTGGAAGTTAAAATAGCCGAAGCAATGGCTGTGGCATTATTAAGTAACGATGGACTGGTGGTGGTTGTGGTGTAATGCGAATACAGAGGATGATCCATGATATAGGGGTATTTGGGACATGGATTTGTTAGCTGTGCCCCCAGCATCGATTCGAAAACATAACCAATAAAAGAACCCACAGTGAGGCCCACATTGTAGGACAGGGTCATCATATTGCCTGTTACCTCGCGTAGAGTTGCATTTACCTTGGCCGGGGCCAACATCATGGGAAGACTGCCGGCCAAACCATTACTCACGCCCAAGGCAATGGTGAAAATGAAAGCTGCCGTTTCTCCTGAAATAACCGGTTGATGTCGTGGGGCACAACACAGCAGCAACAGTGGTACCAGAACTATACGCAATCCCGACATCAAAATCAATTGCCGCCTTGACCATGGGTATGGCACCCCAGCCAATGTTTTGCCAATCAAATCGGAAGTATTGAAGGTAAACATCAACAGTACCGGCATCCAGGTGCCCAAACTGCATGAAACGATTTCCGATTCAATGCCAGGATACAGTGACAAGGTCACACAATAAGCCAAGGCAATACAGACCATATACGGGTAAATAGATTGGGCCACCTGCCATCGTGATGCAAAACCGGTCTTTAAATCACTTAATTTTCCTGGGGTACAGGTGCCAGGGGTCAAAACATGTTCCACTTTAAAAGCCACTGTTGTGGGTGTGGCCGGCTCTTGTGGAGTTGTGGGAATGTCGGGTAAATTATTCAGGCCCTCAATAACACTCTCGCCTGCCGATGGATTCGATAGCTCGTAAACGGGATTGCTGAAACTCAAGGCAGCCGGTGTGGTTTTATTCGGAATCGGTACTGTTGGACTGCTGGGTTCTAGTGTCAGCACACCATACTTGGCTGTGGGCGTGGATCCATCAATTTCATTCTGCAAAAAAAGAAGATACAAACATTTTAGAAAAATATTTGAAAAAAAAAGAAACTAAAAATGGGAAGTCGGAATCAACTCTAACGCAAGTCTGAATAAAAAAGTATGCTACTGAATTTCGGGGTGTTCAATATTACATGGATCATCTAAAAGGAGCTAAAATTGGGAAATAGAACTAAATGTTAAAACAAGTCTGAAAAAATGATGCTACTGAATTTATGGGTCTGAAAAATTTCAAAGATCGTTCCATTAGCTTCCATAGAAAAATATTTGAGAAAGGGAGCTAAAAATGGAATGTCGAACTCAATGCACCTGAATAAAGGATGTTATGAACAACCTAATGGGACGCCATCTTCTTGCGTGCCGCTTACTGCGGTGCGCTTAGTCGGGGCATATTATTCTGTCAAGGGGTTCTCAACCCTTCCACCATCAGCCCTATGAGTCGAACACTCAAAAGAAAATGAATACAGAAACAGATACAATATAAAACGACAAACCCGACATACAACCATGACAAGGACACTTGGTGTCCCCACACTTTGCCCGACCATCCTTGACCCTGTGATCCTTCTAAACGTAAAAAGTTAACAAAATAAAAATAATTCTGGAATTCCTAACACCTGTGAATATTGTGAGTCCTTACTCAGGCAATCACTAATTAATCTAAGGTCTTAAATTTCTGCCAAATCTGGCCACTAACTCGACCTTTAATTTGTCCCTAAAAGAGGTCTCTTAGCGGTTAATGCTGGACATTACCTTTTTGATACAGAAAAAAAAATGCAATCGTTTACCTCTTCCTACTTCAACGGGGTAACCCAGCACTCACATATGGTTCCCTGTGGCCGAATGGTTCGCAGTGGCCGAAAAATGACTCGTGAGCTGAACATATCGCAATATTCCATTCGGCAAATATTAAAAAATGAGCTCGGTTTACAGCCATTGAAATTCCAAAAAGTGCAAGAACTTACACCGCAACAGAAAGAAAATATACTCAAAAGAGCTAAAAAGTGGTTTCGCTTGGCCGAAAGGAGTATACTACCGAATTTGGTTTTCTCCGATGAGAAAACATTCGTTGTCGAGCAGTTTGTAAGCAAACCAAATGTCAGCTGAAAATGTGCACCTTCGGTTGGCCACCAGAACTCAAGCTCCGGCCATGGTGATGGTGCGGGCAGCTTTCCGCTCGTATTAATCGACTGTAACGTCAGAAAAAAAGCCGAATATTATCGCGAAAATATTCTGGAGGGTGTATTAAAGCTTTGGGCACGCAAAAATTTTGGCCGCAGATATTGGACATTCCAAGAGGACTCAGCACCATCGCAATCAGCACGCGCCACCGAAGAATGCTTACATGTGCGCTTCATTTCCAGCGCACAATGACCACCAAAATCGCCGGATACCAATCCATTGGACTCTTGTGGGTGGAGAATTTTGGAAAGCAAGGTTGGCTCTAAAAAATACCAAAGTGTCGTTTGAAGGCCATAATTCGTGCCAAAGGTGACCAATTCAAACAAATTTTGTTGCGGTTTTTTATCTCATCCTGTATATTTGAGACTGATTCTAATTGAGATCAGATACAACTCTATAAGTGTACAAAATACTTTGTACCTGTCCTAGGTCTGTGGCCAAAATGTTTGCGTGCCCAAGGCATTAATACATCCTCCAGAATATTTTCGCGATAATATTCGGCATTTATTCTGATGCCGCGGTGGACCATCGTCTGTTATTGCGGCCCACACCATCACCATGGCCGGCACTTGAGTTCTGGTGGTCAACCGAAGGTGCACATTTTCAGCTGACCTCTTTGGCAAGCAGTTGAGGCGCTGGAAAATCTAACAATAAACAATAAATATTCTGAAACACCACATGTGAACAATTCGGTGATCTGACGCATATGATCATGTGTGAGATAATAAAGGTTATCACCCACACGCACAGATATCGATGCGCTCAATAAATGTACAAGACCACTTGAATGAAATGTCAAGCAGCCCTGTAATATTCTCCATTCAATATTCGAATAGATAAGAATAATTGTGTGGCTGCAATTAGGTTAAGTTAGATTAGTATTTGTAGCACTTAAGAAACATATTTTTGAAATAAAATCAGAATTGAAATTGAACCCAGACGAAACAGTCGTCTTTCTATTCTCATTAACATTGGTCCTTCGAGCAGGATCGAGAATTGAAACTACATCCAAAGAATAAGGTTGTTCTTTCTTTTCTCATCCCCGAATTGAGAATAGAGTTGGCAATCGAAGAGGGAGATTGGACTACATTCTTATTTACATTGATCCTTCAAGCCGGATCGAGAATTGAAACTATAGCCAAGGAATAATGTTGTTCTTTCTTTTCTCATCATCGATCCGGAGAATAGAATTGACAATCGAAGAGGGAGATAAGCAACATTTTTTTTAAATATCTCAATTTGTTCAGAAGCTATATCTACCTAAACACTAGAATGGGCGGTGGTTGAAATAAGCTGTGAGCCACTGTATATTTCGCTTCCTATTTCGATTACGCTAAATACTTGGAACTGTAAGCTTTACGCAATAAAGGGCTAGGCACATATGTCCTTCATATTTTAACATTCTTCTCCTAACTATTTCCATTAACTATGGTTATGCCCATGGTCTCTAGACTGCCCTTTGGCAATTACTTCATGTCTGGACAAATGTCCTTCGAATGAAAAAAAAGAAAAGAAATCAACTCTTCTACACATTTCAAAATTGATGTGCACTCGTCATTGTTTACACTTCGGTATAGCCAAGTCGGTGGGAGGGTACACGATTAAAATTATACGTAAAAGCTTTCTCCTCTCACACATTTTTCAAAGAAAAAAAGCGCATATAAAGAAGAAAAAATTCCCTCGCAAGAACAACAAAAAAAATCGAGTGTTTAGGACACCTCCCCCCCAAGGATAACAATTAACAACAAGAACTACACAAGCAACCAACCGACACAATTCCGTCACTCCAACAGTCATACGCAGAAAATGTCAAAGCCAGAGCTAAACTGTTGATGTACTTTTGTGAATGCATTAGTATTCTATAGTTGTAGACGCAGGAGTAAAGGCAGATGAATGTTAAAAGGATTTCGAGAGGACTCGTGAGAAGTGTGAAATTTCGAAAACAAAAATTGTTTCTTTTAGTTTTATCTGCTTGAGGCAATCAGACACAACAAATTTTCGATGAGGGAAAAACTAGAAAATATTGTTATTTTTTCAAATCCGCCTGAAAATGGAGGACAGTTATTCTATTATTGGAGAGAAGGAAAACTCATTGACCCTCTACTTACATTAATAGATGGCTCATCGGAAAATATAAAATATTTCGACAAATAATTAAAATTTTCGAGTTTTCCCTTGTTAAGGCGATAATCATATGTTTATGATTTATGTGTTTGTTTCTCTTTCGAGACGAGCTTAATGATCTGAAATTTGCAGTGAAAAGGAAAGCCAGATAGACACTATCACACACTCACCACTATTTTTAAACTTTTTGTGCATATTCGCCCTTGACTTGCGCCACTGATTCCCTATAGGACTTAAGTCGAGGCTCTGGACTGACCAATTCTCGATATTCTCGGAGCAAAATCAATATTTTACTATTTTTGACGAGTGTTTGGGGTCATTATCTTGCACAAATATCTAATTTTGAGCCGTGGAATTCAAGGCTTAAGCATAAACTTGTCCATTTTTACATTTTGTAATTTACTGACGTAAATATTAAAAAAAAAACAACTAAAAAAGTTGTAAGTTCGACCGGGCCGAACTTTGAATACTCTCACTTGGTACAAATTTGCCAATTTTCATAAAAATTGAGATATCTGAGATTGTTAATAGAAGCCGATCTACAGTTTAGTACATCCTAAAACAGTTCAAAACTGATGGATGTGTAGAAAATAAGTCAAAAAACGGCAAATAGTAAAATATTTACCTTGAGTTATGACAAGTATATTTTACGGCAGAACAAAAAGGAACGATTTTTGAGCCCACTGAAGCTCGCAAAAATTGTTGAAAAGGATTTGGGAAAAGTATGTTGCCTTCAAACAATGAGAAATATACTGCATAAGTCGAATTACAATGGAACAAGAGCTAGACATAAACCTCAATTAGCAAACGAAATCAAGAAGTAAGATTGCGATTTTCCAAGGAGCACATATCAAAAGATTTTTCATTTTGGAAGAATGTGCTGTTCACGGACGATAGCAAATTCAACCTTTTTGGTTCAGGTGGAAGACCTTATGTATGGATTAAGGCAAATGAAGCGCTCCTTGCCAAAAATATGAAGCCTATAGTGAAGCACGGTGGTGGGTCACTAATGGTGTGGGGTTCATTTGCAGCCTCTGGACCTGGTGTATTGCATTTTATTGAGGGTATTATGGATCAGACTGTGTACCTTAAAATTTTGAAAGAAAGTTTGCCACTCTGGAAGGAAAAGCTCGGTCTTGGCGAAGATTATTATTTTTATCAAGACTATGAACCGAAACACAAAGCTTATAAAGTGCGGTCATGGCTGCTATTTAGAATGACCAGGCAAACTACCTTTTGGAGTCTGTACTCCAATAAGCCTACATAGGGACAAGAAATACTCTCGGGCGATCTCAAAGAAGTGTTCTTAACAGTCTACACAAACCGTTCTGATAAGCCTTCTTAAAAATGGACTTGAGGTAATTTGCTCAATTTCCCAGTCGCGACATAAAAGTTGAAATTCCTTTCAGCTTAATGGCGGACCTTTGTCAGACATTAAGATGTTAGAAATATAATGTCGCGCAAATATGGATTTTAACTTAGTAATTACGCTCTTACTATTCGAGCAATTATTAAGACATTCGACTTCTATATAAAGAGTGATTTGTTAAGAGCTTGATAACTTTAAAAAAAAAAAAAAAAAACGCATAAAATTTGCAAAATCTCATCGGTTCTTTATTTGAAACGTTAGATTGGTCCATGACATTTACTTTTTGAAGATAATTTCATTTAAATGTTGGCCGCGGCTGCGTCTTAGGTGGTCCATTTGGAAAGTCCAATTTTGGGCAACTTTTTCGAGCATTTCGGCCGGAATAGCCCGAATTTCTTCGGAAATGTTGTCTTCCAAAGCTGGAATAGTTGCTGGCTTATTTCTGTAGACTTTAGACTTGACGTAGCCCCACAAAAAATAGTCTAAAGGCGTCAAATCGCATGATCTTGGTGGCCAACTTACCGGTCCATTTCTTGAGATGAATTGTTCTCCGAAGTTCTCCCTCAAAATGGCCATAGAATCGCGAGCTGTGTGGCATGTAGCGCCATCTTGTTGAAACCACATGTCAACCAAGTTCAGTTCTTCCATTTTTGGCAACAAAAAGTTTGTTAGCATCGAACGATAGCGATCGCCATTCACCGTAACGTTGCGTCGAACAGCATCTTTGAAAAAATACGATCCAATGATTCCACCAGCGTACAAACCACACCAAACAGTGCATTTTTCAGGATGCATGGGCAGTTCTTGAACGGCTTCTGGTTGCTCTTCACTCCAAATGCGGCAATTTTGCTTATTTACGTAGCCATTCAACCAGAAATGAGCCTCATCGCTGAACAAAATTTGTCGATAAAAAAGCGGATTTTCTGCCAACTTTTCTAGGGCCCATTCACTGAAAATTCGACGTTGTGGCAGATCGTTCGGCTTCAGTTCTTGCACGAGCTGTATTTTATACGGTTTTACACCAAGATCTTTGCGTAAAATCTTCCATGTGGTCGAATAACACAAACCCAATTGCTGCGAACGGCGACGAATCGACATTTCACGGTCTTCAGCAACACTCTCAGAAACAGACGCAATATTCTCTTCTGTACGCATTCGTGTGGTTGGTTTGATGTCCAATAAAAAGTAAAAAGTAAACTGAGTGCGAAACTTGGTCACAATCGCATTAATTGTTTGCTCACTTGGTCGATTATGTAGACCATAAATCGGAAGTAAAGCGCGAAACACATTTCGAACCGAACACTGATTTTGGTAATAAAATTCAATGATTTGCAAGCGTTGCTCGTTAGTGATGAAATGTCAAAGCATACTGAGCATCTTTCTCTTTGACACCATGTCTGAAATCCCACGTGATCTGTCAAATACTAATGCATGAAAATTCTACCTTGTACCAAGGGATATCTACAATTTCGTGAGGCAAAAGCTCGATATTTGTATATATTAAAAATACCTTACAATTTAATACTAGACTTTCGTTATTACTATTCATATTTGGCCAATATAAAGTTCGACAGGCTACATTTGGACATCATGTTGGTTAGGATAGGTTAAAGGATGCGTGGTTGCATAAAATACAACCATTCCACTCGGATACCTGTTGGCCCATTATGTTCATCCTATTTAGAGACGAAGAACTCCAATGTAAAAAGAAAATATAGCATAAGGCAATGTTAGAAGTAATAGAGACAGAAGCGAAGAGGATGAAAGTGTATCCACGTTGTGGTCAGCGTGTTGTCGTTAGTCATTTAAATTTTCTGGCTAATTGAAGCATGACTGGCTCGGTTTCAGAACAAGAGGTTAAGTCGGTTAGAATTTGCTTGCCCAGTTGCCTCTGTCTGACTCCATAAAGAGTTGGAGAGTAAGTGATCCGCTGTCTCGGTTTCCTCCTCGTCCTGACAGAGACTGCAGTATTCAGTGTCTTCGCCCTCCCCCCCTCTTTGAAATCATGGCCATTATGTAACAGTGTCTTGTAATTAGGTCTACAATAAGCTTTAGGTCAAATTTCGTCAAGGGGATAAGTGACGTTCGAAGATCACTGCCCTATTTTTTTTTTTGGAGATATGACATCCCCTTCCAATCATCTAGTTCTGATTGAATCTCCCAAAGTAGTGATTATGTAATACGTTGTGGCTTCACTGAGCTATAGATCTCTAGATCTACTGACTCAGATCCGCCTCTAGCTAATTCATGTGCTATGTTATGTTACAATGATGCAGGACCCAACAAAGTCTGACAGACGTCTTAAACTTTTCCAGAGCATTTCAGCATTCCTGAACAGCCATAGATTTGATTGTAACAGAATTAAGAGCCTTCAAGACCGCCTGACTACAGTTCATTGATTCTATTTTCCAACAGCTCAATGGCTTCCCTGATAGCAAAGATTTTTGCTGAAAAACGCTGCAGCCGGTGTTTAGTTTAAAGGATCTTCGGATGTTCAAACTTTCACAAAAGACTCCAGCTCCTGTACCACTTTCCATCTTTGAACCATCGGTATAGACAGCTATACCGTTAAAAGGTGGTGTGTTCCGGGTCCAGATGTCCCAGTGATTTGAAACTTTGCCTGTGTGATATATAATCACTGGTTATAGCCTGACCTCCTATGCTCTCCACACATTTAAGAATGATAGAGTGTCCAAGGACTGACTCAGCCATTGACCCAGTTCATTGAGTCGTAGGGCACACCTAGCAGCTTCTTCCTTTACAAAAATACTTAAGGGTTTTAAGTTGAGTAGGGTGTCAAGTGCAGATTGGCGTGTGATTTTAACGGCACCTATAATTAGTAACGATGCTACTCTTTGGACTTTAACAATGTTTTTGCTGACAGTAGCTTTGTCTAAAGCCCTCCATAAGTTAGTATTGGCCGAACAACTGATTCATATAACCATTTGATTATATGTGGTTTAAGTCCCCAACTCTTCCCTATAGAGTCTCTACAAGAATATAGTGCCATTAAGCTTCGCTCGCTCCTCGATATTCTTCTTCCAATTTACTTTTCGGTCAGGTACGGTACCGAGGTACTTAGCTTCCGTTGACAGGCTCAACCTAACTCCATCCAGCATAGGTTGCGAATAAGGTGGACACCATGATACTCCCATATAACCTTCATGAATCCTCTCCAACCCTTTTCTAGTTTTTAAGAAAAAATATTTTCTAAATTAAACAGCGTCTCACAATCACTCAAGTTTATTGAGTACCGTTTCCAATTGGTTCAGATTTTGCCATTATCTGCTATAAATAGTACCTCATAAAGTGTAGTATGTCCTAATGGAGATCCTAAATATAACAGCAATTAAAATCCAATCATTGGAATTTACTAATGCATTTTGTCACATAACCACACATGCCATCCATAAATTACCCCATTCATACTTACCAAACGATCCTCGTCCGGTCGCAGGACAATCTTGGCACACGCCCGCATATGATAACGTACAAACGGCGAATTAATGGTGGCCAAATGCAACAAATAACTGAACAAAATATACAGTGTTGATGTGAAAAAGAAAATCACCGTTGACACTCGGTCATTCTGTATCAACAGCTTTGTGCCGACACGATTGGAAGACACCAAAAAACCGGCCAAACTTTCGCCCGTCATCACCGCCTGGGTATAGCGTTTGGGGAACATGCTGGCAAAGCCATAAAAACTTGATTGTTGAACTGCAAAACAGAGGAAAACACCAATTAATAACTTTGCCATAGACTTCTGTCCACCCACAATTATATCACGCCAACATTTGGCACTTATCACCCAACCCAACAATTACACTCACTTACCTGTACAACCAATGGCCACCAGTGATACAGCTGCCAAATTGACCGTATAGGCCGTGTTGGCGGCAAACATATGCCATGCCACCTCACACACGGCCACAAACACCAGTGTCGTGAAGGAGACAATATAGCCGAACATGACGCGCACTCGAAACGGTGCCAACGAAAGGAAAACATTATTTAGCAGGACTGTGCCAAATGCAACCACAATGTACGTCATTGACATGTCCAAAGCGACGGAACGTCCAGGAAAACGTGCCTGCCAGTAGTCCGCAGCGATTATAAAACTGAAAGAGAGAGAAAAAACAATAAATAATCAAAAACAACAATGAAGACATTGATTTGTAAAAGTTAAAGCACTGTTGGGGATGATTTTTTTCCAAAGCAAGTTTTCGTTGGCCATTGTAAAGGCTCTTACGGTTTTTATTTAGTATTTGGGATTCCTCTTAAATTAGTCTTCCAATTTTAAAACTTTAACTTGGTTGTAGAATCCAGTGGTGTGTAAAAAAACTGAGAAGACTTCTAATGTTTAAAAAAATATGAATCGAAAGCCAATTTCCATATCCTCGAAAAAGATAACCTATAGATCTATGGCAACCAAAGAGAGGAATTACTCTCCACAACACGTCAAGGATTAGTTTCAGTAGTACTTAAGGAACATATTTTTAAATAAAAACAAGAGTTGAATCTACACCCAAGCGAAGCGGTTGTATTCTTTTCTTATTATTTTACATTGCTCCAGTCGAGCCGAATAGAGAATAGAATTGACAATCGACGAGGGAGATTGGATTCTATTCATTTGGTCCTTCGAGCCAGATAAAGAATTGAAACTACATCCAAAGAATAAGGTTGTTCTTTCTTTTCTCATCACCGAATAGAGAATAGAGTTGACAATCGAAAAAGGAGAATGGATTCTACTCTCATTTACATTGGTCCTTCCAGCTGGATAAAGAATTGGTTGAATAAGGTTGTTCTTTCCTTTCTCATCACCGAATAGGGAATTGAATTAACAATCGAAGAGGGAGATTGGATTCTATTCTCATTTTCAAGCCTTGTGTTTCGGATCATTGTCTTGATGAAAAATTATAACCTTTGCCAAGGCCGAGCTTTTACTTACAAAGTGGCAAACTTTTCAAAATGTTAAGGTACATCGTCTGATTCATAATACCCTCAATAAAATGCAATACGTGTGTCCAGAGGCTGAAAATGAACCCCACGCCATTACTGACCCACCACCGTGCTTCACTGTAGGCTTCATATTTTTGACAAGGAGCGCTTCATTTGCCTTTCTCCATACACAAGGTCTGCCTTCTGAATTTGCTCTCGTGAACAGCACATTCTTCCAAAATGAAAAATCTTTTGATATGTGCTCCTTGGCAAATCCCAATTGATATTTTACTTCTTGATTTCGTTTGCTGATTAGAGGTTTATGTCTAGATCTTCTTCCATTGTAATAGGACTTATGCAATATGTTTCTTATTGTTTGACGGCAACATAGTTTTCCCAAATCCTTTTCACCAATTTTTGCGAGCTTCGGTGCACTCAAATATGGATCCTTTTTGATCAGCCGTAAAATATACTGCTCATCACTCAAGGTAAATATTTTTTAATTTGCCGTTTTTGACTTATTTTCTACATATCCATCTTCAGATGCCAGAAAAACTCAAAGTCGCAAGAGATGAATTCGAATAAATGATGCAGTTAGGAATTTGCAGACCATCAAGAAGTTCTTGTGCGAGTCCGTTACACATGGTACCAAAAGGTGACGGGTTGTGGCGCCCCTGTGGAGATTATCGTTCTCTTAATAAGATAACCGTACCCGATCGTTACCCCGTAGCACATATCCAGGATTTTGGATATATGCTGGCTGGTAAGAAAGTATTTTCAAAAATTGATTTGGTCAAAGCATACTTTCAGATTCCTGTGGCAGAAGAAGATATCTCAAAGACTGCTATAATTACGCCATTTGGATTGTTTGAGTTCACGCGCATGCCATTTGGTCTTACGAACGCTGCGCAAACATTCCAACGCTTTATTCATGAGGTTTTACGAGGACTTGACTTCTGTTTTGCCTACATCGATGACATACTCGTAGCGTCTGAAAATGAAGAAGAGCACGAAAATCATCTCCGGCAAATATTCTCTCGACTACAAGAATATGGCATAACTATCAACAGTGAAAAATGCGAATTTGGCAAGAACTCTCTGGAATTTCTGGGATACTGTGTGAAACAAGACGGCCTTACTCCATGTCCAGAACGTGTTTCTGCAATCCTTCAGTACAAATTGCCCCAAACTGTCAATGAATTGAGTCGATTCTTGGGAATGATCAATTTTTATCGACGTTTTATTCCGAGAGCCGCCCAAGCTCAAGCAACGCTAAATGCCCTAAAAACCCGTCAAAAGAAGAACGACAAAAAGCCAATAGTTTGGACTCCCGAATTACGAAAATCATTTAAAGAATGCATAACCCAACTTGCGAACGCTGCACTTTTGGCATATCCTATTGAATCCGCCGAGACATCTTTATGGGTAGACGCGTCAGATACAGGCTGCCCTCCAACAACTAATTGATGGTGAATGGAAACCACTCGGATTCTACTTAAAGAAGTTGTCAGAGACACAAACACGGTATAGTGCTTATGATCGCGAACTTTTGGTGGCATACTCAGGATTGAAGTATTTCCAACATTTTCTTGAAGGACGTCAGTTTTGCATATACACAGATCATAAACCGCTTACATTTGCTTTTAATCAACGTCACGATAAAGCATCTCCACGCCAACTTCGTCACTTAGATTTTATTGGACAGCATACGGTAGACATTCATCATGTACCTGGAAAACAAAATACAACTGCAGATGCATTGTCTCGTGTCAACAGGATATCGTTCCCATCTTCTTTGAATTATTCAGAACTAGCCGAAGATCAAACGAAAGACGAAGAACTTAAATCTTAGCTTGCACACGAAAAACCATCAAATTTGGAACTGAAATCCCTTGAAATTCCAACGTCGAAAAAAGAAATCGTATGTGATGTGTCAACATCTAAAGCAAGACCGTACATCACACCTCTTTTCCGAAAGCAAGTATTTGACATGATACACAACATATCACATCCCGGCACAAAATCTTCAATTAAGATGATATCGGATAGGGCTAAATCATGCTTAAAGTGTCAGCAAGTCAAGGTTGTACGCCACGTGAAAAGTGCTGTTGGGCAATTCCCAATTCCAGACGAGCGATTTAAAGTAGTAAGCATCGATATAATTGGACCTCTTCCACCGTCGGAAGGGTATAGGTACTGTCTAACGTGTATTGACAGATTCACCCGATGGCCCGAGGCTTTTCCACTACAAGATATCACAGCTGAATCTGTTGCAAAAGCATTTCTTAGTGGATGGATATCAAGATTTGGAGTGCCTTCTCAAGTAGTGACAGATCAAGGACGACAGTTTGAATCCGCATTGTTTAGAGAATTTTCAAAATTGATAGGAGTTCGAGTCACTCACACTACGCCTTACCACCCTCAATGCAATGGTCAAATTGAACGTTGGCATCGGATTTTATGAGTTTAATGAATATTAAAAAATTTCAACCTTTTGTGGGGGAGGTACCAGAAGGAGTGGACCGCTATATTCCATATTAGCACCAGATCTTCAGTTTATAAAAATATTGCAATGTGTGAAATTTTAAGACAAACGGATCACACATCACATAACATTTTATGAGAGTTATAATTATTCAAAATTTTGACCCTTTGTGAGAGAGATACTTGATGGAGTGGACCGATATTGTCCATTTCCGCACTTGACCTAGAACTAAGGAAAATATTAGGATTTCCAAAGTTAGAGCAAAATCGGAATATCGTTTCTCTTTTTGTGCAGAAAAAATATTTTTTGAATATTTCGACCTTTTGTGGGGGAGGTACTTGAAGGAGTGGACCGATGTATTCCATCTTGGCATCAGTCCTTGGGTTAATAAAAATATTGGGATGTGTGAAATTTGAAGACAATCGGACTCTTACATCAGAGTTTATAAGAGTTGTAATTATTCAAAATTTTGACCCTTTGTGGGGGAGGCACCAGATGGAGTGGACCGATATTGTCCATTTTTACACATAACCTAGCACTGATGCAAATATTAGGATTTGCAAAGTTCGAGAAAAATCGGATTATACTTTCTCTTTCTGTGCAGAAAATATATTTTTTGAAAATTTCGATCTTTTGTGGGGGAGGTACCAGAAGGAGTGGACCGATTGGCACCAGTCCTTGGGTTAATAAAATTATTGGGATGTGTGAAATTTGAAGACAGTCGAACTCTTACATCACATTTTATAAGAGTTATAATTATTCAAAATTTCGACCCTTTGTGGGGGAAGCACTTGATGAAGTGCACCGATATTGTCCATTTTCGCACCTGACCTAGAACTAAGGAAAATATTAGGATTTGCAAACTTGAAGTAAAATTGTAATATCGTTTCTCTTTCTGTGCAGAAAATATATTTTTTGAAAATTTTGACCTTTTGTGGGCGAGGTATCAGAATGAGTGGACCGATACTGCCCATCTCCGAACTCGATCTAAGTTTGACAATAATATTACGATATACCAAGTTTGGATCGAATCGGATACTCCCTTCGAGAGTTTTGGTCGTATCAAATGATATATACCCTCTCTAGCCACATGGCTGAGGGTATAAACAGTGGCTAAGCATTTCTGCCCCCATGAAACCATCAATGCTTTGTATCATTTGCATGTCATGTAAATAACTCTGCTATAACAAATTATTATTAAATATCAGACTACAATTTTGCAAATAAAAACCATTCTGCATTACGGTCCTATGCCATTCATGTTGTTGGAAATTGTTTCCCCCCTTGTAAATAAATAAATATTTGACCACCAGACAAAATATACATTAGCACGCAAATTTATAAACAAACAAACACAAATTCATATCTGCCTACATACAATGTTTAAACACAGCAGTATAAATATTTCAAGAGCTGCTAGACTCGCTGGCGAATTTGATAAATGTTCGCAAAGCGATAATAATAGTATGCCTCTATTGGCTTGGTTTATGTGCACTCAGAGTGTAGTAGACATACATGCACACACACACACTCATACATACACAAAAACAATAGCACTGACCTATTCCAAAAGACCGAAAAACGAAATCATTTGCATATCAATTTTCGTGAAACCATGAACTCTGGTGAAAACTTTTCACACAGACATACACATCATTGCCAGTTCCGTCCACTTGCACTTGGGGTATGGGTTACAAAATGATTACTCACCTATTGTAGGGTAGAACAAAACCAATGCCGGCTGCCAACATGGCCAAATAGACCATATGTTTTTGATCCTTGGGAGCACGTATATCATTCTCTGGACTATCCATGGGTTCGTGACGTATGCCGGAACTGCGGCCCTCTAGCGGTTCATAAGTGGTTGATTGTGCGGATTCCATATTTATGTTATGCTGCTGTGTTCTGTTCACAACTCTCCAATTATTTTTGGTGGTGTTTGTTCTTTATGTGTGCGTGCGTGTGTATGTGAGAGTTTCTGTAGTAGAAGAAAACCTGGCCAACGATTTTGTAATTGGTGTTGGAAAACATACACACGTCCTCCACAAGGCACACACTCACTCACTCGGGATTAATAATGTCTGTTACGTGCAGTAGTCCTTAAAACCGGATATTATGCACAGCAATAACAAGAACAACATTACCACTACTATTACGCATCATATTAAGTATACGCACGTACGTACAGACATACAGACACGACAAGTTTACTCGTTGCACGATTCCTCCGGCAACGAAAAGGAAGTATCGTCAGGCGAAAAGACCAAACAAACAACCGCAACAATCAAAATATTCTTCAACACAAAAAGGAAAAGGAGCCGAATCGAGTGCGAGAGCAAACAACCGTATGGCAGAGAGCACAACTTTTTTTTACGCGAGAAAGCAATTATGTTAAAATTCTTATTGTCAGAGAGTGTTATTATTTCTTTAAGTTTTTTTCTTTATTTTATTTGTTTTCACTTTGTTTTGTTTCTTTATTTGTTTTTTTTTTTTTTTCGTATTCTTTTACAAAGTCAATGCTAAACAATCGCCTGTTTCAGACTTTAAGGCGCTGCAAGTGACAAATTGTTAGATTTCATCCCTCTTCTCTCAAGGTAGCCCAACAATAGCAATGGGAGAGAGTAGAAAAAAAAAACAAAACAAATGATGCAAATCCCAGAGAAGTGGTTGCAGGCTTGCCAGATTGTGTGGATTTCTATGAAATATGGTAAAGGGGGATTTGTATACCTCTAATAAATACACGAGTAATTTCGTGAAATAAATGTAATGATGCGGTCAAAAGCAAATGTTTTATTCAATTAAACTGATATTTATATTGAAAATATAAATAATTTGAATTTTCTTATGAAATAATAGGAAACATTAGTCGTTTTGTCGACAGATACATACATCCTAGGCATATGACCAATTATATGTGTGTTTCAGTATGAAGGGAAAACAACATGTTTTCGGATGTAGTTTTGGATGTATTTCGATTCGGCTCGAAGGACCAAATGAAAACAAGTAAAAAAGCAGTAAGGGAGGGTAAGAATACTCTCCACCATTTGCAACAAATTTTCAAAAAAGAGAATAAACAAAATCCATTAAAAATGCTTTAAAAATCTTAAAAACGCCGAATATAGCCATTATATTGGGGTCTATACGAAGACTTGGACCTGCATAGGCAACTGTTGTCATAAGCCATTACAATATTCAAATACGAAGCTTGAAAATAAAATCGTCAAAATTCCGAATATAGGGGTTTACCGATATATGGGACCTATACGTAGACCTGGGCCTGCATAGAAATTTTCTGTAGTTCCTGTTAGGAACTTCATATACAAAATTTCAAACAATATCGGTGAATATTGTATATAATCGTCAAAACAGCGAATATAGGGAGGTGTGGATAAATTGGGCCCATACGAACACCTGGACCTGCATAGATAATTTTCTGTGACAGGCTGTAGTACCTATTAGGAAATTCAAATATGAAATTTCAAAAAATTTCGGTAAATAATGTACCTTAATTCGTCAAAATACCGAATATAGGGAGGCACCGATAAATTGGGCCTATACGAAGACTTGGACATGCATAGAGAATTTTATGTCATAGACTGTAGTTCCCATTATGAACTCTAATGCGTATTTTGAAACAATTCCGGTGAATATTGTACCTAAAATCGTCAAAATTCCTACTATAGGGAGGTATCAATGTAGGGGAGCTACACGAAGACCTGGACCTGCATACGAATTTTTTTGTCATAAGCTGTAGTTCCCCTTTCGAACTCTAAATACGAAATTTTAAACAACTCCGGTGAATAATGTCGCTAAAATCATCAAAATACCGAATTCAGGGAGGTACCGTTATATATAGGCTATACGAAGACCTGCATAGACAATTTTTTGTCATAGACTGTAGTAACCATTACCAACTCTAAACACGCAATTTGAAACAACTCCGGTGAATAATGTCCCTAAAATCGTCAAAATACTGAATATCGGGGGATACCGTTGTATTGGGACTATACGATATCGTGGACCTATATGGACAATTCTCTCCCAGGGGGTAAAGTGCTCAAAAAGAATTTCTTGTGTGGATTTTCAGAAAATACCATTGAGCTAAAATCATCAAAAAACCGATTATCGGGGGTACCGTTTTATAGAGGCTATACGATATCGTGGACCGATATAGCCCATCTTCGAACTTGATCTGCCTGTAGACAAAAAAACTGATATATGCAAAATGTTAGCTTCCTATCTTAATTAATTTTTGACTCTAGCGTGATTACAACAAAGAGACGGGCGGATAGGGCTAAATCGCCTTAACATTTTACGCTGATCAAGAACTTTCTTAGGTCTATAATTATCATTTCGATAATTTACAAACGGAATGACGAACTTAATATACCCTCCATACTATGTATGGTGGAGGGAATTAAATGAATAGAGAACCACTACCGTTTCGTTCGGATGTAGATTCAAATCTGATCTGATAGCCTACGTCAATCCTAATAATACTTCTTATCAATGCACACAGATGGTTGTTCTGTTCCAACGCTTAAGTGAGCGCATTTCTTTTTTGTTACCTAGTGAGAGCATTACTATCTTGGAGTGTCGACCTTATTAAATTGTATTTTTATTATCAGCGCACACACAAATGTTTTGGGACCTTTCGGATTTTCCCACACTGTAAATCGGATTTTCCCATACTTTAATAGTCTCATTCTCATTAAACATAAATACTTTACGTAAAAATATATCTTATCGTTAAACATATTTCGTGTTTTGTTTCACTGTCAAACATCTTCGGTTCGATTTATAATTTTACCATGAATCGTCTTACAGAACAATGCTTCCTATCAGTTGAAATTTTTCATTAAAATGCGTGCTCTATTAAGAAAGTTAATCGCTTGCATCTTCCATTGTACCATCAGACTGCAAAGAAGTGCTGCTAACACGGAATAAAAATAATACAAACAGAGAAAAGCTGCAGCAGATGCAAGAACCATTGGAAATTTCAGACTGGGAAGAATCTATAACCAAGATTGCTACCGAAACACTGAATTGCCGTAGTGAGACTGCAGAGAATACTAATTATAGCCGACCACAAATGTATGTTCAATTTCTCAGATTCTCTGATAGTGAAGATTATTAAGGGATCTCAATTCGTCTGATATCTGATAGAAGAAACTCTCAAAATCTATAAAATGGCGGGCTGAGAGTCTGTAAATTAGAAATTCCTGTAAACATAGTGACTGGATAAATCATATGTTTAGGACTTGCCTTGGCCCTCTTCTATTTCCAATTCCGTATGGTTTGGGACAAAAATTCAACGAATACCTGGTTACAAATATATAACAAACTCTTAGTACTTTGATCAAGAAGCTTGCAGCAAAACCCAATACAACAACACATATAAATATGTCCGTATAATGGCTAAAAATATATCCTGGTGGTAAAAAGGAACTCTTAAAGAAATCTGGATAATACCATAAGAATTGATGTTTACATTTTAATCGTGTGCTGCTGTTGAAGAGTGCACTCGAGAATCGAGAAGAGTTTGGCCTCGACGCACGGCATATTAAAGGTGACAATACATAAAAATCTTTTCTCGGCTGGCTTAAGTCATCGGCTGGCTTTTTCGAAAAAGAACAAAGGAGCGTAAGTCGAAAATCGAACTAATTCAACCAAGAACTACTTTGTTACTCTACGAAGAAGCCAGCCAATGACTTAAGCCAGTCAAATAAGCGTTTTATTTATTCTCACCTTAAGTCAGACAAAAAAGCGTTTTAGGTATTCTTACCTTAAGAGACACATCATATAAAAGGTTGTAAAATTCGACATAAATAAGCAAACTACAAAACTACATTTTCCTAAAATCTTAGTTTACAGGGATTTTTTGGGTATTTCCCCCCTTTCCCACATCAAAAATCTGGCAAGCCAGCAAGTGGTAAACCACCAGCTTATCGACATAACCTAAACGTTTGAGAAGAGGGATGAGAGCGTAATTATTACCGAATAAAAAAATGAGTGTCGATTTCTCCTCACAGGAAAAATAGACAACAAATGGTTAAGAGAAGGTAGGTAGTTTCTTTTCAAATGTTGTTAGGATTTTTTATTTACAAAAACTTTTTTCAATTTTTTTTATTTAAAAATTTTAAACTATTGTTTTCATAACTTTGCCGAAAATTATTTTTCACAGATCCTTTTATTATGCACTAACACTTTTCACCACATTCCAAAAGGCGTTTCTCTATTCACAAAATATTGATATTTTTGTTGGGGGACTGGAGAAGAAGAGATTGGATTTTTTCATTGCCGTCATCAAGAACACAAACACTTGTTTTCTTTGAAATTATTTTTCAAATTTAAAACCATGTAACGTTTTTATCATCTCTTTGCAGATCTAACACAAATAACAAAATTTCAATTTGATTTTATTGAATTAATTTTTATTTATTATTTGATTTTTCATAATAAAAATTTCTTGTATTCTTTGGGACCGCCGCGACCATCCGTGTGTATTTTCTTATTCTTAGGTTGTTCGATTATATTTGCGCATGTTTTTCTACTGAAACCAGAAATTGATTTTCCCTTCATATTTTGCCAGAATTTCACGTCGACTTTGTGTCATCGCACGTAGCACGTCCGTTTATTGCTCACGACTAGCTCTCTGTTTATTTATTTAATGGGACTCTCTCAGCGGAGGTGGTCAAATATCTGTCAAAATGTAAAGTGTGATTTGTGTGTGTTCCTCCTTTTTGGGGATGATGCCATTCAAATGGCGTAATTGTAGCACAAACCCACTCACACACACACCCATCCATCACCATTAAAATTTTCACAAAAAGGGGTGTGTGGATAAATGTAATTGGTAAAAGCTTTTTAGTGTGTCACCCTGTGTTGTGTGTCTTTTCTAAATAGGGATGTAAATGATGCAGAGTTGCCAGACGTTGAAGTCGTTAAGGTGGTCATATTTGAGGTGATTAAAAAAAGGGTGTTTCTATATAAGAGACCAATGTTGATTTTTACAGAACCCCAAATTTGGTATTCTTATAAAAGTTGAGAGGGGTCTCTTTATGTAGACGGCCAGAATGTAGTCGTAATGTCGAAGTAAATTAAAATCGTTGTCTTCTTAAAAAGGCCAAAACATGATCTTATTATAAAAGAATGCCAAAGAGACCAAAATGTCGTCTTCACATAGAAGACCAAAACCTGGTCGTTTTTTAAAGAACACCAAACCGAGATCTTTTCATGGAAAAAGACCCTAAACGTGGTCAATATTTAGAACACCGAAACGTGAGCTCCTTACAAAATACAATACCATAGTCTTCTTACAGAAAAAGACTTTTAGAAGGTCAGGAGCTCTTCTTATAGAAAAAGATAACATAACGTGATTGCCAAATCATAGCCTTCTTATAGAAGAAAACAAATGGTCATATTGACCAAAACTGTGATATGCTTTAAGCGAAGGCCAAAATCCAATTCTTTTTATAGAGGAAGACAAAAAAGAAATATTTTTTCCAAACAAGTAAAAAAGCTGTAAGTTCGGCCGGGCCGAACTGTGAATACCCTCCACCATTTGAAAAGAATTTGGCAATTTTCAAACAAATAAAATCCGTTAAAAATTCTGTTAAAATAATAAAAATACCGAATGTAGCCTTTATATTAGGGTCTATATAACGATGTGCGTGAAGATAAAATCGATTTTAACTAGCGAAGACAACACCCAGTCTGGGCGCACTTTCTGTTGTATAACAGTGTATAACAGATATGCGGAAAATAAAAACGATTTTGGTAGGGGTAAAATAAAAACGATTTTTGAAGATGCGAAACAAAAATGCATTTTTTTAAATTTGTATTTATTCTTGTTTGTACCTGATAATGAACATAATTATAAGTATAAAAAAATAAAATAACTAATTTAAAGGTATTTCAATAAAAAACTTTCGTCATCATACCGACTATTTTTTAATGGAAGAAAGTTACATAGCCCACTGTGCAGCAATAAAAAATAGTGCACGCATATGAATGGCACTGCAGGAAAGCTCGTTCCAAGAGCTTTCTAAAACGCTATTACTTGGCCAAATCGATCGTGGAAAATTAGAGAAAAATTGATTTTTCTTATTTTTCAAAAGTTATCAACGAGTCCCACTGTGCGAAAACTAAAAATAGTGCAAGCTCATGGAATAGCACGTTGGAAAGCCCATGAGGTGTACTTTCAATATATAAACACTCCTGAAAGATTAATCGGGCAGATTTTTTTTAAAAATTTTTTTCCTAAAGTCAAGTCTTTTCTAGAGGGAAACATAAAATGGCCCACTGTGCAGCAATAAAAAATAGTGCACGCATATGAATGGCACTGCAGGAAAGGTCGTTCCAAGAGCTTTCTAAAACGCTGTTAGTTGGCCAAATCGATCGTGGAAAATTAGAGAAAAATTGATTTTTCTTATTTTTCAAAAGTTATCAACGAGTCCCACTGTGCGAAAACTAAAAATAGTGCAAGCTCATGGAATAGCACGTTGGAAAGCCCATGAGGTGTACTTTCGAGATATAAAAAGTCCTGAAAGATTAATCGGGCAGATTTTTTTTAAAAAATATTTTTCCTAAAGTCAAGTGTTTTCTAGAGGGAAACATAAAATGGCCCACTGTGCAGCAATAAAAAATAGTGCACGCATATGAATGGCACTGCAGGAAAGCTCGTTCCAAGAGCTTTCTAAAACGCTATTACTTGGCCAAATCGATCGTGGAAAATTAGAGAAAAATTGATTTTTCTTATTTTTCAAAAGTTATCAACGAGTCCCACTGTGCGAAAACTAAAAATAGTGCAAGCTCATGGAATAGCACGTTGGAAAGCCCATGAGGTGTACTTTCAATATATAAACACTCCTGAAAGATTAATCGGGCAGATTTTTTTTAAAAATTTTTTTCCTAAAGTCAAGTCTTTTCTAGAGGGAAACATAAAATGGCCCACTGTGCAGCAATAAAAAATAGTGCACGCATATGAATGGCACTGCAGGAAAGGTCGTTCCAAGAGCTTTCTAAAACGCTGTTAGTTGGCCAAATCGATCGTGGAAAATTAGAGAAAAATTGATTTTTCTTATTTTTCAAAAGTTATCAACGAGTCCCACTGTGCGAAAACTAAAAATAGTGCAAGCTCATGGAATAGCACGTTGGAAAGCCCATGAGGTGTACTTTCGAGATATAAAAAGTCCTGAAAGATTAATCGGGCAGATTTTTTTAAAAAATATTTTTCCTAAAGTCAAGTGTTTTCTAGAGGGAAACATAAAATGGCCCACTGTGCAGCAATAAAAAATAGTGCACGCATATGAATGGCACTGCAGGAAAGCTCGTTCCAAGAGCTTTCTAAAACGCTATTACTTGGCCAAATCGATCGTGGAAAATTAGAGAAAAATTGATTTTTCTTATTTTTCAAAAGTTATCAACGAGTCCCACTGTGCGAAAACTAAAAATAGTGCAAGCTCATGGAATAGCACGTTGGAAAGCCCATGAGGTGTACTTTCAATATATAAACACTCCTGAAAGATTAATCGGGCAGATTTTTTTTTAAATTTGTTTTCCTAAAGTCAAGTCTTTTCTAGAGGGAAACATAAAATGGCCCTCTGTGCAGCAATAAAAAATAGTGCACGCATATGAATGGCACTGCAGGAAAGGTCGTTCCAAGAGCTTTCTAAAACGCTATTACTTGGCCAAATCGATCGTGGAAAATTAGAGAAAAATTGATTTTTCTTATTTTTCAAAAGTTATCAACGAGTCCCACTGTGCGAAAACTAAAAATAGTGCAAGCTCGTGGAATAGCACGTTGGAAAGCCCATAAGGTATACTTTCAATATATAAACACTCCTGAAAGATTAATCGGGCAGATTTTTTTTTAAAAATATTTTTCCTAAAGTCAAGTGTTTTCTAGAGGGAAACATAAAATGGCCCACTGTGCAGCAATAAAAAATAGTGCACGCATATGAATGGCACTGCAGGAAAGCTCGTTCCAAGAGCTTTCTAAAACGCTATTACTTGGCCAAATCGATCGTGGAAAATTAGAGAAAAATTGATTTTTCTTATTTTTCAAAAGTTATCAACGAGTCCCACTGTGCGAAAACTAAAAATAGTGCAAGCTCGTGGAATAGCACGTTGGAAAGCCCATAAGGTATACTTTCAATATATAAACACTCCTGAAAGATTAATCGGGCAGATTTTTTTTAAAAAATATTTTTCCTAAAGTCAAGTCTTTTCTAGAGGGAAACATAAAATGGCCCACTGTGCAGCAATAAAAAATAGTGCACGCATATGAATGGCACTGCAGGAAAGGTCGTTCCAAGAGCTTTCTAAAACGCTATTACTTGGCCAAATCGATCGTGGAAAATTAGAGAAAAATTGATTTTTCTTATTTTTCAAAAGTTATCAACGAGTCCCACTGTGCGAAAACTAAAAATAGTGCAAGCTCGTGGAATAGCACGTTGGAAAGCCCATAAGGTATACTTTCAATATATAAACACTCCTGAAAGATTAATCGGGCAGATTTTTTTTAAAAAATATTTTTCCTAAAGTCAAGTCTTTTCTAGAGGGAAACATAAAATGGCCCACTGTGCAGCAATAAAAAATAGTGCACGCATATGAATGGCACTGCAGGAAAGGTCGTTCCAAGAGCTTTCTAAAACGCTATTACTTGGCCAAATCGATCGTGGAAAATTAGAGAAAAATTGATTTTTCTTATTTTTCAAAAGTTATCAACGAGTCCCACTGTGCGAAAACTAAAAATAGTGCAAGCTCGTGGAATAGCACGTTGGAAAGCCCATAAGGTATACTTTCAATATATAAACACTCCTGAAAGATTAATCGGGCAGATTTTTTTTAAAAAATATTTTTCCTAAAGTCAAGTCTTTTCTAGAGGGAAACATAAAATGGCCCACTGTGCAGCAATAAAAAATAGTGCACGCATATGAATGGCACTGCAGGAAAGCTCGTTCCAAGAGCTTTCTAAAACGCTATTACTTGGCCAAATCGATCGTGGAAAATTAGAGAAAAATTGATTTTTCTTATTTTTCAAAAGTTATCAACGAGTCCCACTGTGCGAAAACTAAAAATAGTGCAAGCTCATGGAATAGCACGTTGGAAAGCCCATGAGGTGTACTTTCAATATATAAACACTCCTGAAAGATTAATCGGGCAGATTTTTTTTAAAAATTTTTTTCCTAAAGTCAAGTCTTTTCTAGAGGGAAACATAAAATGGCCCACTGTGCAGCAATAAAAAATAGTGCACGCATATGAATGGCACTGCAGGAAAGGTCGTTCCAAGAGCTTTCTAAAACGCTGTTAGTTGGCCAAATCGATCGTGGAAAATTAGAGAAAAATTGATTTTTCTTATTTTTCAAAAGTTATCAACGAGTCCCACTGTGCGAAAACTAAAAATAGTGCAAGCTCATGGAATAGCACGTTGGAAAGCCCATGAGGTGTACTTTCGAGATATAAAAAGTCCTGAAAGATTAATCGGGCAGATTTTTTTTAAAAAATATTTTTCCTAAAGTCAAGTGTTTTCTAGAGGGAAACATAAAATGGCCCACTGTGCAGCAATAAAAAATAGTGCACGCATATGAATGGCACTGCAGGAAAGCTCGTTCCAAGAGCTTTCTAAAACGCTATTACTTGGCCAAATCGATCGTGGAAAATTAGAGAAAAATTGATTTTTCTTATTTTTCAAAAGTTATCAACGAGTCCCACTGTGCGAAAACTAAAAATAGTGCAAGCTCATGGAATAGCACGTTGGAAAGCCCATGAGGTGTACTTTCAATATATAAACACTCCTGAAAGATTAATCGGGCAGATTTTTTTTTAAATTT